AAACCCAGTAAGCCAGCCACACGGCTTTTCACGTGTTTTCCAAGAATTCCCAGAGCAGGGGTGCCTGGGTGGCTCAGTCATTAAGCGTCTGCCTTCGGCTCTGGTCATGATCACGGGGTCCTGGGATCGAGCCCCGCATCAGGCTCCCTGCTCTCCCACTCCCCCTGCTCGTGTTCCTGTTCTTGCTATCTCTCTCTCTGTCAAATAAATAAATAAAGTCTTAAAAAAAAAAAAAAAGTTCCCAGAGCAGTCTGGCAGCAGTCCCGGGGGCAGTTATCTGCCCCTTATCTGCCCCTTCCCCCAAATGACAGCTCAGGGGTAAGGGATCAAGACCACATGAGTTGAGTGTGGGGACAGCCCTGGTTTAGAACTCGCAAGTTCCATATAGGAACCAATAACTTTTACGAGAGTCTGGTGGGCCCAGAGTCCAAGAATTCCAACAAGGGCCAAGAAACGTCACACTCGGGAATGGTCACAGTCCTTGCAGTCCACTGTAGTTTAGTCAGGTCAGCTTTACCATAACTGTGTTGGCTGGTAACATGGCTGACATTCTACCTCTGTTAGGTTTCCAGGGGAACACAGCTAAAAGATTCACATGAGATTAATTTTCCCATGAGTACACATGGGCAGGATGTTAGGTTTTAGCATTATCAGGGAAGTAGTAAAATTAAAGTAATCATTTGTATTTTTAGTCTGGAATAATTTAAAGATGCATATTGTAGTTTCTAGGCTAGTCATTAAACGAACAGTTAAAGAATGTATAGTTAAGGAAAAATGGAATAATAAGAAAACATTTGATTAATTCAGTAAAGAAGCAAGAAAGGAAGACAAAAGGAATATAAAAGAAATATATGTTATATGTAAAATATAAAAATGGGTAAAATAAAACAGAAATAGTAAAGCGATAGAGATAAGCACAATATGTCAGTAATGACAGTAAATACAAAGGGACTAAGTATTCCAATTAGAGTACCGACATTATCAGACTGGGTTAAAATACTGAACCCAATTATGTACTGTTCACAAGTAACGCACTTTAATATAAGATATTAAATAGTTGAAATTAAACAGATGGGAAAAAGATATATAAATACTAAACAAGAAAGCTGGTTTAACTATACTAACATCAGACAATGTGGAATTTAAGGGAAGAAGAATTACTACAGAAAAAGACAATTCATAATAATAGAGTGGTCAGTCCACCAGGAATATAGAAAATTGTAAATCTGTATGTAACCAATAAGATAATTTCAAATAAGGCAAGCATTAAACATTGGCAGATCTATACAGAGAAACAAATGAGTCTACAATCATAATAGATGTCAACCTCTCTCAGTAAGTGATAGAACTAAGCAGACAAAAAAAAGTAAAAATATAGATCATCTTGCTAAAAAACAAATTTGACCTAACATATTTATATAATGTTGCATTAAACTGTGACATAATTCTCATTTTTTAAAAAAAGCATATGGCTCAGTTGGTAGAGCATGCAACTCTTGATCTTGAGGTTATGAGTTCGAGCCCCATGTTAGGATGGAGCCCACTTAAGATAAATTTTTAAAAAATGCACGTGGACCATTTACCGTGTTGATCATAAGCTGAGTCATAAATTAAAATATTGAAATAATATGCAGAGTATATTTTCTGACCATAGTGGAATTAAATTAAAAAAATAAAGATCAGAAGCAAAAGGAAAGATGGAAGATCCTCAGCAATTTTGGTGACATTAAGCAGTACACCTCTATGTAACCCATGGGTGAGTGAAAGCCCAAGCAAAATTAGAAAATATTTTGAAATGAATGGTAACAAAAATAAAGCATGTCAAAACTTGTGGGAATGCAGCTAAAGCAGTGCTTGAGGGAAGTTTATAGCCCTTAAATGGATATATTAGTTTAAAAAAAAAAACGAAAAACAGAAATCAGTGATCTATGCTTTAATCTCAAAAAGCTAGAAAAAAAACAAATCAAAACTACAGTGAGATATTTCTTGCCAATGATACTGGCAGAAATTCAGAAATTTGATAGACTCAGTGAGGCTGTGGGGAAATTGGCACTGTTCTTCATACATTGCTGGTGGAAAGGCAAAGTGGAATAACCTTTATGGAGAGAAAATTGACTACATCTAGCAAAATTATACATTCATTTACCTGTGTAGCCAGCTTTCAGGAATCTTTTCTAAAAATACACTGGCAAAAAAATTAATACAAAAATACCTATGAATAAGGCTGTTGATTGTAGCCTCATTTGTAATAGCAGACTGGAAACAACCCAAATGCCCAAGAGAAGGAGACTGATTAAATAAAAACTCATCCATGGGTGTTTATTGGGTGTGAACATCCACACAATGGGAGTCTTTTACAGCTGTCAAAAAGAATGAAGACAATTTCTGTAAACTTCTATGAAGTAATCTCCAGGATATAGCCAGTGAAAAAAAGGAAAAGTGGAGAAAATCATCTCTCTGATTACAATATTTTGTTTTTTAAACAATGGCAAGGTGGGGGATGTATGTAGAGAGAAACAGATATTTTAAAATGGAAGAGTAACTTTTAAAAATACTTGTAAATGGTTTTCCATAGAGGGAAGAAAGAAATTGGATGGGAAAGACTGGGCATAAAGCTAGTTTTCCTTGAATCTACATTGTCCTTTCTACTTGACTTTGAAAACAAATATTTTATATAATTACAAAACAAATTTTAATAAGGCAATTCCTAATTAAAAGTAAAATTAAGTGAGCCCAACTGTGTATTCAGTTGGTGGTATAACCACATCAAGAGGAACTATTCCAAGTGACTTTAAAAGACAATTATTTGACTGCCTCCCTTGATGGGATTTACCCTAAGCACAAAAGAAAACCTTATTCGTTTTCAGTAATACTGTCGTTAATAATACTGATATTGTTCTGAGGCTGTAGGTGTGTGCAATGCAAAATAAACGAGTAATTTTGTTGGTGATGTTGAGAACTAGAGTTTGGGTACAGGTGAAGGACATAAAAGTGTGAGAATGATGATGTTAAGTAAATGTCTGTAGTCGTGAATTAGAAATAATAGCAAAACTTTCTCATGTATTTACACATTTCCTAACTTTATTTGATGAAAAGACTAGTATCAGTGAGTAACCCAGTATTGGTAAGCACACTTTGTGCCTAGATATTGATGTTTAGATACCATTTTCCACTAAAAGGAACCAGAATTCCTTGGAGAAATGGCTTCTACCAAGTCTGGGAAAGCAAAGAGGCTCTGACACAAAGTTTGTGTCAGAAGAACTCAGAGCCAACTGGAATATGCTTCCGTTGGCCAAAGATGGAACACTTTGAGCAGCAAAAATCAACAAAGCAACTGAGTGGGTGGAACACATCACATATATTAAACGATATTTAAACTCCCAAATTCACTATGAGGATTTGGTCTTGGAGGATGCATGGGAACAACTTAGTTTTTTGTTTTGTTTGTTTTTTGGTGGGTTTTTTTTTTTTTAATATAAAGAGAAAATAACAAATATGTTTCCTTCCTTTCTAAATGAACTGTACTTGGGGTTAATGCTTCATTGATGAGAAAAAATCTCTTTATAGGAATATTCCAACCAGTAAACTAGAAATGATAGAATATTACAGTTTTGCTGCTCCTAATTAATTTATGGCAGTGATCATCACTCACTGCTAACTTCACAAATACACCCAGACACTGTGTGGGGTACCGTTGGACGTTCACATTACCACCTGTGAAGTGTTTTGCCACCCTCCCTCCTCGGTAAGTCAAATCTGAGGCCAGTCAAGCCTCTGACTACCAACTAATGGGAAATACAGGGGACAAAGGAGCATGTTAGATGACTCCTGGGATGCCATCAGCAGAATCCAGTCAGTGGAAAACAACAGGATGAATAACCCCATTTCTTCTACAGAAATGTTCAAAAGTAGATGAAGATGAACCCTAGAAATCAAGAGACTTAGAGAACACATTAACCAATGGCAACATACGGACTTCATTTAGATTATGATTCAGATTACAAAAGCAGAACGAACCTGCATAAGACAACCAGGGGAAACAGGACTATTGATGATATTAAAAAATAATTTTCAATATTTTAGGCAAGCTTTATTAATCTTATGTTTTAATCATGAGTTTTTATCTTTTAGAGGTACACGCTGGAAAACTTACTGATGAAATTATATGAAGTCTGGGATTTGCTTCAGATTAATATGGATGAGAGGTTAGAGAAAATCAGAAGTGACCATGAGTTGATAAGTGTTGAAGCTGGGCAATGAGTGCATGGAAGTTCTTACACTATTGTCTTCTTCTGTATATATTTGAAATTTCTCATTATAAAATATTTTTTAAATGTTATCTCAAAGATGAGCAACCAAATAGCATATCAGAAATGAGGAAGTTAAAAAAACAAATTGACACATCTTAAACTAAAAATATATTTGGGGGCGCCTGGGTGGCTCAGTCATTAAGCG